CATACAAAAGAAAATATGGAAGGCATGAGGAGGTGTCCAGGGCCTAGCTGCATTTATTGGGAAGAGGAGTTAAGTTTTAATCTTTCTCAGCCTTGCAGCAGTCCTGGGCCTCACTGTTAACTGGAATGATCCCTCAGAGTGTGCGATGCGATTGCACACCCCGTGTGACATCTCCTCTAAAGGTTCTTGAGTGAAGAAAATGGAGTCTGCTTACCGGATGTGCCTGAGCGGCCCTCCCCCAAGGGCATCATCGCCTTCACTCCACCCTTGAGCCAATCCGAGCGCCCGTTCTTTCCGAGGCCGATCTGAAATAATCTGGGAAAGTTAGGTCAATGTTGGGTTCAGTCCAGAGGCTGTGTGTCTGGTGTAAAAGGGTTGGATTTAATTCCAACAATTTTCTTTTGGTCCTGGAAACTGGTTTATAAGAATAAACTGGCAGTTTTCAACAATTGCTTCCTTCACATTTGGTGCTACCTAGGGACTTTTTGTATTGTCATAACAAGGGAGTCGCTGTTGGCATCTAATGGTGGAGGCCAGGGATGCTGCCCCTACCCTACAGTGCAGGGGCAGCCCCCGCAACAACCAAGGAGGGTACTCCCCAAGGTCAACAGTGCTGAGGCTGAGAAAGCTTAGACTAAATGGAACCCTTGGCCTGGCCAGCCCTTGTGATCCCCACCAAGGCAAAGCCGATCCTGTGGTGGCAAGACAAGGGCAGATGGATGCCCCAGAGCTTCGGGCACTGCCACACCTTCTGCCTCTTCCCCAGGCAGGACGGGTACTCCTCCTGCCCTGGAGGTCAGCTCCATAGAAAACTCAGGGCAGTAGGTGCAGAAGCTCAGGCTTCCTCAGAAGTGCGTGCAGACAAGGCTAAGAAGGGCCATGTGGCCATTGCTGACCTTCACCTAAGGCCTGCTGACCTCTGGAGTGTGGAGAGGAGCCCAGGAGTTCCCACTAACCACCCCGCTCCCCATAGAGGCAAATCCTATGAAATCATGGTGTGCGCCCCTGCTATCAACCTTCAGGACAAAAAGGCAGAGTTCAGTCCTGTGAGATGTTATAAGGGATTCTATAAAAAAGGAAGACTATATAGTTCTTGGTGGTTATGAAAGCAATTTAAACATGCGCTAAGCCCAAATGTAATTTGTTTTGATCAGAGCAACCCTGTTTTGTAGTTATGGTAAGCTCCAACAAAAGGAAAAATGAATAGAGACAATATTTTACTGTTTGGAGGACAAAGGATGGGGAGGAAATTGTGGATTGTGAAACTAAACATCCTGAAGAATTTCGGTCATTCACATCTCTGAGTAAGCGAGATAGGGTTTGTACTTGCTCTATGACCTTGGGTGTGGCTTGGTGGCTTTGGACACAGGCAGACTGCGTGTGATGACTTAGCGGCTGTGTGTCCTTGAATGGGTTACCTAACTTTCCCACTTGGTTTTCTTATCTGTCCAGTGGTGATAATAATGGTTCCTATGGATAGGATTATTCTGAGAACCAAATGAACAAATATTTATAAGACATGGTGTGACCGGCAGGTAATGTTGTGTGTGACCTTCAGGTAAGGTTTTGTATGTGTCTGGATTTGTTCTAAGGTCATTCTTTACTTGTGAGCCAAAAGTCCCCTTCTGTTGCTAGCTACAATATTAAGTAAAACAAATTCGAACCCTAAAGTCAGAAAATGCTCATTAATTTAAGGACAAGTAGCACACAACTTGGGTGGAATTTTCATCAACAAGGGCAAAACAGAGAGTTTTTTGATTAAGCTGAGTTTTCCCAGAAATTCTATTTACTGGGCTGTGGAGGAGCGGCATCATTTTGGTGAAACTGAGATTTTCCTGTGGGGGTTTCCCTGTTCTCACTCAGTGACTTGTGAGTTCCTGTCATTGTGCGTCTGCTCTTTCCTGCTTTTCCTGGGTGCAGAGCAGTGCTCTTGTTCAGTTGAGGCAGAAGCCTGGAGCTGAAGAAGGTTCTAGAATGAACACAAAGACAGTGAAATCCAATAGTCCCATTTAGTCCCAGGGGACAGAGACCCAGGAGGGAGATGAGGTACAAGGGCCAGCCTGCCTGGAGCAATACAAATGGTCCCCCTCCCTCCTAGAACCCTTAAACCCCAACTGCTCTGAAGGGAGAGGCTGGGGACAAGGAGTCGGGTCCTGCCACCCTCCTGGGAGAGGAAAAGCCCCAGGGCAACACTGGGAAGAGAGTACCTCTTCCCCTCTCCAATCCTGTTGGGCTCCGGAGGCGCTGCTGGGCCTGGTGCTGCCCTGCCTGGTCCCGCATCCTAACCACACAAAGTCAGGATCCAGTCTGGTTCCCTTAGGAACACCTTGTACCAGGCCTTCTTTCTGGTCTTCTGGTCCCATAGCCTCCTCTGCTGGTGGGAGGAGACAAAAGTTTATCAAAGAGGAGGAGGAGGCAGCCCAGTACCCACTCATTACCCTGGCATAACTATTAATCATGTTCCTTGTACTCTGTATTCACAGCGGGTAGTGCATTCATCCCATCCTGGACATTGCTGGTGGCCACCTGCACCAAGAATGGGGGCGTGCTGGCAGGGCCGAGCCTTGGGCCAGAACCCAGGCCAGTGGGCAGAAGTAGGATCCACTCAGAGAGCCCTGGCTGAGCCTGATGTGGCCAGCACAAAGCCTGCTGCCCTTACTCTCCTTTCCCGGTGCAGAGCTGGGCTGCAGTGCAGCCAAAGTGGGGCACACGTCGCAGGCACACCGGTATCCCCAGAGCTGTGAGTGATGTGAGGGGTGGCAGAGGTGAGCCAGCCCCAGGAGCTGGAACCAAATGCCTTCCCCTGAGAGAGATATAATGTCCCTCTGACTTCAATTTTATGGGTATGTTTATTAAAGTCTGACCTCCGCTCTCCACAACCAGACTCCAGCCCCATGAGGAAAGGATGGCCACCTCCTTGACAGCACCTGGCAGAAACCCTGCTACCACAAAGGTCCTGATGGCACCCAGAATGGCCAGCGGGTGGTGCATGTTGCTGAGAAGTGGAACCTCTTCACCCAGCACCTTGTTTGGGCATGGCCTGCAGTAGGGCAGCAGTCAGGGAAAGAATTTGGAGGGCCAGGGCCCCAGGAAAGCCCAAGCCAAGGGACTGACTGGGCACGGTGAGGGACACTGGGGTGAGGAGGCTGGGGAGTCCCCAGGCAGCTGAGGGCCTGTGTGGGCTGCAGTAGGAGCTGCCCTCTTGGCAGGTGTCATGGCTTTGTGGAGCCAGGTTGTCTACACCAGCTGCAGGTGGTGCCGGGAGTGGAGGAAATCAGAAGGGGTGAAGTTTTCTCTAGTCAGGCATCAAGATGTGTGCAGCAACATAATACATGGTGTGCATTACTGGAAAGTGTAAGGGGGGGACTCTAGTACTGTAGAGTGAGTTATATCTGTGCTATGTGTTATCATTGTAATGTGTTACTAACATGACATATTATTAATGCACTATATAATTGTGATATGCAATGTACTCAGGATGCAATATGAAGGGTGTTAATATAATGTGTCGTGTGTATCATTTTCATATATAGTATATCTTAGTGCAATATTTAATGTATTATGAATGCAGTATATTTGCTGATATAATATAAAATGCATTATCAATATGTTGTGTTATTAAGGTAACATATAATGTGCATAAATGTGATAAGTAATGTGTTGATGTAATATGGAAGTTTTTAATAATATAATATGTAATGTACATCACCCTGATATATTATATGCATCATTAATACCATATGCAATGTGTTACAAGTGATACTTACTAAAATAATACGTAACTTGTTGCCAATACAGCATATAGAGTAATGTGTACAGCTGTTAATGTCATGCATATTAATGCAATGTACAACATACGAGCAGCAGAATATGTAACAGCATTGATATAACACCCTTGAATGGAGACAACGTTGAATGTGATATCACTGCACAGTACAATGAGGATCAGGATGGTTGCTGGGAAGGAGTCTTGGCAGAGGTCTTGTGGAGGTGACCTGTCCTGGTCCAGGTCCGGGCTCCAAGGCTGTGGGGAGACAAAATCACAGGCACAAGGTCTCGGGGAAAGACCTGGGCTTTCCATAGCCTGAGGGGAAATCCACAGGAACTAGGAAGGGAGCTTGCCACTCGAATGTGTGTGTGCTCACACGCACACACGCGCACACACACACGTGCACACACACGCCATGGTATTTCTGAGGAGCAATGACACGTAGCTCATTTTGCTCCATAACTCTTTTAAATAGTGATTTTTAAAAGTTTTAAATTAGTGAATACTTTAAAGTCCCTTTCAAAAGACTAGCTATTCTTGCTCTTCTGGGAAGAGGGAAGACATTGCTGGCCAGATGGATGCTAGCGAGTAGATTTACTGTTAGATGTTACAGATTTACATGTGTGTGCGTGTGTGTGTGTCCTATGCTTTTTCTTTACCAGGGTTTTCCCAACTTGACACTGTTGACATTTGCGAGAGGACAATTCTGTGCTACACCAGGGGTGAGTGCTTGTGCGGTTCTTGTGGGTATTTCACAGCATCTCTGGTCCTCGCTGCTGGACACCAGACTCATTGCTTCAACCGTGACAACCAAAACTCAGGCTGAGACAGAGCTAAGGAGACTCACCAGGGCCAAGTCTCCCACAGTGGAGAAGCTGCCTCCATCCTCAGGGGTGCGCACCAGCAGACCCACCCCGAGCTCCGGCCTGTGTCATACCTGACCCCTGATCTCCCGGTGTCCTCACCTGTGAAGTGGGGTGAGGGTGGTCGGAGGACCAAAGTGGAAAAGGTGTGAAGCTTCCGTTCTTGTTACCCCAGCATGTGAAGTCCCAGAGTAGAGAGGGAAAGAAAAGCACCTGCATAAACAACCAAGACAAAGGACCACGAGAGGGAGTAACTAGGCAGTTCTGCCTTAACAGCGAGCCCTCCCCCCTGGAGCACCGCAGCCTGGTAGCCTTTACCCAACAATTCTAGAGCTAGAATTGTAAAACACCATGTTCCATAACAGCAGGGTGCGCCTCAGGATACATGGGCAGCACTTGGCAGATGTGCAAACAGCTCACTCAGTCCGCAGAAACGTTTTCTGTTTAGTTTTATTTTTGCGTGCTGAGGATTAAACCCTGGGCCTTGACACGGAGCTACAGCCCCACCTGTTTTTTTGTTTTGTTTTGTTTTTTTTAATTTCAGACAAGTTCTTCCCATATTGCAAGAGTTGCCCTGATTGGTTTATCTCACAGTTCTCCTGCATCAGCCTCCCAGAGCTCTGGGATTACCGGTATGCACCACCACACCCAGATCTTTTGATTGTGTTTTGTAATCAGTGGATGAGATTTATTCCAGGTTCTCCCTTTGTCCAGAGCTTCTCTTTCTCGCCAGCCCGGAGCCTGCTCCGGCCCCTGCTGATAACTCTTAACAGAGTGGACAGGTGAGAGAGCCACCCTCAGCTGTGAGAAGGCGTCACCAGTCCACTTTCACTGGACAAACAGAAAACGCTGATAAAGTCAGATATGGGTTTAGGTTCAGAACCCTGGCTTCCTGTTACTGATCATTGAACTCTTGTGGCTTTGCAAGAGTGCTTCCGGGCTGGGGGTCCTGTCCAGGCTCTTAATGTCCTACACAAAGAACCGAGCAGGACACCCAAGAGCAGCAGCAGGGTCAGTGATTGATTTGAAAGAGGAGAGCAGGACCCACTCCACAGGGCGGAGCGCGCCAGTGGGAGGAGCTCGGGGCGCTGCGGGGGGGGGTGGCGTTGAGGGTTTTAAACTTTAGAGTTTGGGGTGGGATTGAAGTTTTGGTCTGAGGTTTCACTCCTGCCAAGCAGCGTCCTGACTCAGCCCCTCCGTGGGGCGGTGGAGTTTTTGACCTTGTATGGCCCTTGGAGGAACTGTCCTGGGGTCCAGAGCCCACAGGGGTCAAATTTGCATAGTCAATGACATGGTGATTAGGGCTGGGGTAGTCCGGGCAACAGGCCGCTAGGCGCACACGCGGAGACCTGCTGTGTATAAGCTACAATACCTGGTTACTTCTTCCAGCTTGTGTTTAGACCTGGGCATCCTGGCCCGAGCTAATGTTTATTTTGGAAGGTGGATCTAGTCCTGGAAAGCACCTCCAAGGCAGGCCCTTCTTTTTCTTCCTAATGTTTCCTTGGTTACCAGGTGCCCCAGATCTGGTGCAGAAAGAGTGCCGTAAGATGGGCCAGCCCTCCTTTCTTTGTCCAGCCTTTTCCTTCGCTATTTCCTTGCTCTAGAGAGCAGCAGAGTTTGGTGAGGCCTGAGGGGCAAGGCATGTGTCCAGAAGGCAGTGAGGGTGGCTGGAGAGCCACAGGACGGGACCTCGGCCAGGGGTGCCACAGGCGCCCTCGGGGCTGCTACAGGTGCACCGGCTCAGATCCCAGCACGGGAGAGGAGAACCGGAGGGGCGAGGGGGCAGGTGGAGCAGATAGCTTGCCCCACACGAAGCTTCTCTTTTCAGCCCCCAAATCATCACACTCTAATAAGAGGCAGGATGCTACAGGCTTGGTGTGTGGGTGTGCTGTGGTCTGTGTGTGTGTGTGTGTGTGTGTGTGTGTATGTGTGTGCATGTTTATGTTTAAAACAAAATTCAAATTCCCAAGACGAACCAAGAGGTCCAACTTTTCCTCAGATATACAATTCCTGGGAAGAGTGAGGAGCTCGGGCAAGGTTGCTGTCACCATCTGGACCCCAAAGGATCTGGCGAGTGGAGCACACGGGGAGCGCTGGTCTTTCTGGCAGCCCATCAGCCCTGGCGTGCAGATAAAAAGACATGAAAAGGAGTCAGATTGTATAATTGTCGGTAAGTACATGGACAGTCAGTGTAGAGACCTGTGATGCTTCTTGCTCTCCATTTGTCACTCTTGTCATGCTCTGCGGCCCATGCTTTTGGAGTGAGGACCAGCTTGAAAGCAGGCTGCCGCTGTCAGTCAGTGGGAAACAGATAACCGGGTAAGGAGAGAGACGGGAAGGCTAGCGGGTGGGCGAGGGGCCAGGGCCTGAGGACCAGCCTGCTCAGTCCAGGTGCCAGGGCTCAGGCTGACTCCTGGGGACTGTCCCAATGCCACAGAGCTTGGCTTTGTCCTCTGTGTTGTTGCCGAGCTCAGGGCAGGTGCTACCTCCAGCTACCTACGGAGCAATGTCAGACCGAGGGATGGCAAAGAGACGCTAAGAAGGTGGCTGGATCTTCTCATTCCAGCATGGGCTTCCAGGTGACAGTTGAATAAAGGTAGATCTGCCTGCCCTCAAACTGTAACCAGCAACAGGAAGTCCTCCGTATCCCCTCCCATTTGCATTTATCATCTGTTTGTATAGAGTCTGGTGGCCTCTCTTGCCCGCATTTTGTCACTTGCAGTCCCTTGGGAATCGATATAGAAATGCATGCACACTCATCAGAAGGCAGAAGTTGGGTCTTAATTCACTGTCCAGTACCATCAGCTCACCATGCGAGCTGCTAGGATGGATGCCCTGCAGCCCCGTGTCCTTATAGCACGGGAAAACCCTGCACTTACTGGGGATTGTTGAGGAAATCTGGATTTCACAGAGCTATTTCCTGACCTCTTGGGAAGAACTGCTTCTGCTAAAAAGCAGATTAGGGTTTTGTCCCTTAAAGATATTGCCTCTTCCAGGCAGAATGAAAACCCAGCTCCTTCTACCCAGCCCCTCCTTCTTCATGAGGGGCCCACCCCTCTGCCATGCTGGGTGAAGCAGCTCAGATATGGTTGCATCTCGCCTCCTTCAAGCAGGGAGTGGGTTTTCTGCTCAGCAGGGATAAGACAAAAAGCAACAGAAAAAGAGTTAAGACTACACAAAGATCAAAAACCAAAAGGAAAGCAGGAAGGAAGCAGGAAGTGGGAACCGTAGAGGTTGCTGTGGTCAGAAAAGGGTTGTTCCTAAGCCCACTGTCCCTCCGTCAGAACAGCCTTGGTGTCTGAAACTTTTGTCCAGTACCATCTCTGTGACCTCTTCATGACGGGGTCTTTGATGAGTTAGTCTCCCTAAGCCTCTGTGTTTGGCACACAGAAGTAGGGGGAGGGTGTGTCATGAGAGTCGAAGAATGTGACAGGCATACTGCGCATATGGACTTTGCAGTGGACAGCTACTGTAGTGGTGGCATGTGCTAAGGGCCAGCACCAGCTATAATTATTGCCACATTCTGAACTGGGCCCTAAACCCAAGAAGAAAGAAAGAAATGCTAAAACTTGAAATTGGCCAATATACTTGCTTGCACTCATATACTATAAATATGGACTTTGTGAATGCAAGCGTAACTCAAGAAATACACAGTTTGTGTTATTAAGTTATATAGACCATATATCTCAAGAATGAGGTACAATTCACTTAAATTAATTTTACTGAAAATCATTGGTATTCATTTACTTGTCCCTGGGCCCCCGCATATGGTAGGAATCTTTACAACAATCCTACTTTAGCACTTTTGTGTTTTTGATGGGAGAACTTGGGCTAGGAAGGTATTTCCACTTGCCCAAGATGACATTTACTAAATGGGTCATCATAACTTGAGCCAGGTCTGTCTGATTTGAAATCCTGAGTTCTTTGTACCTGACCACACAGTCATCTTAGTACATAATCTGTGGAAGGCAGTGCACACAGAAAATGCAGAATCCCAACTTCAAACAATATGAAGGATTTCAAGATGGCGACAGCAGAACATTAAACCAACTGCAGACTTCTTCTGTCTGCATTTGCACAAGTTATACACTAATAAAGATTACCCTGAATCCTACTAATATATACACCAAAAATGGGTTCTTTCCTTAGTAAACATGGGAATTATCTGTAAGAAGATTCATCAGGGCACATTGCAGAAGACAGACTCTTCAATGGGCATTCCCAATTTTGTCACATTTATGATTCTTCTCAGTAAGCACTAAATTGGAGCATTGGTAGACACAGTAAAAGAAATTTCCCTAAGGACCTAAGAAAGGCCTCCACTAGGCCCATTCTCAGGGATGCTTTGCTGTTTTGCTTTTGCTGTGCATGGGGGTCTATCCCGTAAAGTACCCAGGCTGCTTTCCTGCCTGGAAATCTGAGAATATGAGGCAAAAGGAAGATGAATTGAGTCCAAGGTTCATGTAAAGTGGTTTTCCAGAAGCAGAAACGGACACAGGATGTTTGAAAACAGGTTTCCTCTGTGGCGCTTGCTCCTGATCCGTTTCCTCAGGCCAACTCTGGGAAGACCTTGTCTTACTGTGGCTGGGCTCCCCCTGAGCTCCACGGAGTTTCCTGGGTAGGTCTGCAAAGCAGAAGCAGTGTCAGCTGCACAAACAGCCGTATCCTGCATGCTCCTGAGTCTGTCCAATCAATGCTGCAGAAGAGTCCCGAGGTACTGCTCTGCCTCCAGGTCCCTCCTGCCCTGCACCCCTACCCCCACACCCTCTCAGTCCAGGGAATGCTTGCTTCTTGCAGTGAAAAAGCCACATCATAGCCACAGCCCCTCACCGCCAACCTACGGCTCTGAGCTGTCCTGCTTGCAAACTGGAGGGTGATAAATCCCTGGGATCCGCTCTGCAGAGTGTGTGAGACGTGAAAAGTACTGGGAAGAGCTCCAGTCATTTGGGGCTTTTTTGTTTGGTTAGATTTTTCACAGCAATAACAATTTCAAAGATTCCTCTAGGAGGTAGCAACGTAATGTGAAGGGAGACATATCTCAAATGCCAGTAGGTGTCCAATTATCCTCCAGAGCAGTGGTTGTTAAAATGTTGAGGAGTGTAAAATCTGTGAATTTGCCGCTTATACCTGGGCTGTACATCAAGGTGTCAGTGTGTCTCAGCCCAGGCCTGGATCACAGGGCTGGGACAATGTGCCTGGCGATTGTGACACTAGCCATCTAGTGGGATACTAGCCATCTCTCACAAGGGTTCACTCATATTTAATGAAGTCCACAGACTCCAGGACACAGCATTGTATGCAAGTGTAAAATTTTCTCTTCTAAAGAGAAGCTAGACACATTCTGTGTTCTGGGCAAAGCTGGTAAATTCCCCACACCTGGCCTGCCTATTACACAGTCTGGAATAACCATGGCTCCATGCTTCCCAGGGCCTAGGTACCTTCAATGCAAAGATGGCTTAATTCCGATAAGAAAACCTCCATGGGTCCCTGGAAGTCTTGGGAACGGTTACTCTCTCTGTGCCTGCATATGAGCCAGGTGGAAAAGGCTCCAGATGGGTATGATCGGGTTTGGCAAGGTTGGCTAAAAAAGAATAAATCAGAAACATTGTACACCAAGGTTCCTTCTTCCTTCCACATATCTCCTCCTGCCACTAAGAATTTTGTTTACTTTCCAGAAATTAAAATAAAAATAATATAAATGGAGGAGAAAGAAGATTCAAAGTACAAGGTCTGCTCATAATATATGGTCACTGTTTAAATTTTTAATTTAAATTTTAAATTTAAATTTAATTTAATTACAGTACAAGACACACTGCCTTTAATCCACCTCAGAGTCCTCTCCCCCACCTCACACACTTATCCCATCATTCTTGCCACTTTCTGATGCAGCTCTGGGAGTCTGCTTTCATGAGTGTCTTTAGCTGCACTGCGGTGTCTGCCTCCATATTCTGAATTGCCTCAAAACATTTACCTTTCATGGTCATTTTGAAAAGCCAGAAGTCATGCGGTGCCAGGTACAGTGGATGAGGACACAGGATAATGTTTTTATTTGACAGAAATTGCGGTGAAGGGGTGATCAACCAGGGGTGATCATAAAATAAATGAATGTCTAGATCAAAAAATTTATTACAGTAAAATATACATTGTCATTCATCCTACACAGAACAGTTCCCCTCAGTTCATATACACGAATCCTGTTGTTCTTGGAAAAGTGTAAGTTACTACAATAAAGTTTTTAAAATTTAAATAACATATTGTTTGATCACCTCTTGTAAAAAGGGGTTGAATTAAAGAGAAGCAAAAAGTGTGAGTGTAAAATAGCTAAGCCCCAGACAGGGACCTAAGAACCCTTTCTTGGTGACATGAACACGTGACCACCCACCCCTGCAGAAACAGTGGTATCAACTTCTCAAACTTCACCTCAGAAAATAAATCACTCATTTGATTTTCACTGCAGGGGTATCGACTGGGCCCTCTCTATTCACTCCCTTCTCTTCCGTGGAATTGGTGCCCCCTAGTGGTCAAGAGGACCTCCCCTAGCCCTGTCTCGGAAGGGGATCCAATCCTCTGGCTGTGCATTACCATTTTCCAGTTGCACCCTGATTGCCTGTGAGAATCGGGCCCTGACGCCTAAAGATGGGAATGGGAGTGCCTCAGGGAGTGTGGTCATACTATGTGCTAAGCGCTTCCCGTGGATTGCCTCATTAAATCCTCTAAAGTCTGCAAGAGAGTGACCATTAGTACCCCATCCTACTATTCAATAGTTAAGGCACAATGAGCTGAATGATTTGCCTAAAGTCTCCCCTGTGTCACTGGGTACTGATTACAGAGTGCTCTGCTGGTGATCGGCAAATCCAGCTTCCAGAGAGGTTGCCTCCCTCTGGAGTCCATGGCTCTTCCCCGCCAGCTGTGAAAGCCACATGAAGGGAAGGGGCTGGGAGAGGCCTGCATTGTGGGTGCACAAGGGGAGGGATGGAAGCCACTGCTCCCTGTGGGCCTGGGAGCCACCTCTCTGCCAAGCCAGGCCGGTTGTGGGGTGTCTCCCTTTGTCCGGCCCCTCTTGATATGAGCTGCAGATTGTATCGGAAGCCTGGCTGGCCGAGTCCCGAGGACTCAGTTTCCCGCAGGACAAAGACCCTTGACAGCTCACTTTTCAGCATCTGCTGCGTT